ACGCGCACAGAGGCCTCAGGGAAGAGCACGAGCAAGAAGCAAGGGCGGTTGCACCCTCCCTCTTATGCGCCCCACGCCTGAGAACGGTCCTACATCCGTTCAACAGGGACAGCGGAAGCTGCCTTGAACCAAGCTGTTCCTCAGCCCCAACAGGGACCGGTGGCAACGGTTCTCCAGGACTGACGACACGACCCTTTGCAGTCCGACCTGGAGAAGACGACAGGTTGGTGCCAGGCAGGCCCCGGCAAGGAGGTCATTCCACCGCGAGGGGAGGGGGGGCTGCCACTGAGAAGGCCCTGCTCTTCGTTGCTTTCCTCCAAGCCTCCGTTGGCGGTGGCACTCAGAGGAAAGGGGTCAGATTCAGCTGAAAGGTTCTAGGTAGACTGAGGTCAGCATCAGGCACCTCTGGTCACGTAGGCCTTCAATATGAACTGGACTCAGACGCGCAGGCAGAATCGGTGCTGTGTGTCTGGACCTACTGGTCCTACTTATTAATCTGGCTGACACATTTTGCACAAGCTGCAGGTTTGGAACCATCTTCAAGGGCAGCCCCACACAGACTGCACTGCAGTAATCTAACCCAGAGACCCTCAGAGTCCTTCAGGGAGAGGGCTACCCCACACAGAACAGGCTGAAGACTCTCCAACCACGTTACATTAAGCGGAATATAAAAATTACTAATAATTAAACCATAATAATTGATCAATAGCCAACTCATTAATCACAAATTAATCATTTGAAAAGCAAGGAGACAAGCAGGTGTGTCCCCCATCTCCAGAAAAGCTCAGAATGAATTGCAAGGATGCTCACAAAGGGCACATATTCCGTCATCGTTAAGCATCAACCGGGCAAACGTTCAGGAAATAGCTCTCTCTGGTTATCATCCTTGCATGGGCATGACTACCTGCCTGCCTCCGAGGACTAACATTCCCAGATAAATAATGGAATAAATAAAATCCTACCTTTCTACCCAGAGGTACCCAAGTTTGCTCATGCAGATGCGCACCGAAAGTGCAAACAGATTTCAGGCGTAATGACCAAGGTGCCTTCCCCTTCAAAGGCCTTCCAAAACACCCAGAAGCAGAGATAGTGGAGCGAGACAAGTTTGTTGCTGTTGCTGGCTGGCTGATCTCCCGCCCAGCACTGGAACTCCATATTCCTTTGCTGAGGCGATCAGACACACCAGAAGCCCTTTTCAAAGTATTCCACTGCGTGAATTTTGCTCCCCTCCCCGCCCCTGAAATGTGGGCGAGGACAAATCCAACTGCCGGGAAGTGAGATCTGCAGCAAAAGGTTGCAGCACTGAGAACTTCCTGTCCAGGGTTTCCAACCACTCTCTCTTATTCCCCAGCTTGTTTTCCTTCTTCCCCTTCCGCAGTCTGTCAGCATCCCACGGCCACAAAGTCCCCATCTGCCTATTTTTGGGGTTCTCCTCCCGTCTGCACCCCTCAGGCTCTCCCCCTCCCAGGACTGGCGGACCCTCCTTAGTGCCTGGCTAGTGCCAATTGGCTACTAAAGCAAAGGGCTCGTTCTACTTGGTCGCTGGAAATAGAGCCACTGCAGCCACAGACACCTGACTTGCTTTTCTGAGTATATGTATAGCCTCCATCAAACCAGAACATACACCAGTCACGTGCTTTTGCTCTGCCTCTTAAACAAAGGCCATGCCTTTGCGAGGCCTGCCTTTGCAGCCAGCCGTAGGTGCCTCTAATGGACCTGGTTCTCACTGAGTTCATGAGCAGCAGGGTGAGATCCAGCTGCTGGACCGCCTCCGCTCCCCCCCCCCCCTTTCCACCAAAAGCCGCTAAACGAGCCAGGCCTCTTTCCAGCACTGGGTGCATTTGCATTAAGTTGCAACTGCAGCTCCTCACCCACAAGCCAGGAATCAGAAGGCGAGAACAAGTCCTAATTTCCGAATCCAGCTTGTTAGAAGAGCAGCAAGTCAGGATCCCAGTGGGAGAAATTATGTGCAAACTGGCTAATCTGCGCACCACCTTGTTAAAGCATCCAACCTCTGCTCCAAGTGAGGGCGCAGCTATTGCTCGCCAGTGATTTCAAAGTACTGCTTTCGGAGGTGCATCGATTAGCAGCAGAGAAGTGAGAGAATGAGAAGGAAGGATACAGGACTAGAAAGATTAGAAGGATGCGAAGGAGGCCAGCAAGGGTGCTGTAAATGGGCATATGCACACAGTTGAGCGTATTAATTTAGGATTTCATCTATCCTTATTTATCTTAATATTTATATACCACTCCATTTCCGCAGAGGCTAGGAATGGGGATTCCTATTCTAGCAAGAGTCAGTAGAGAGTCTTTTTCTCTCTCACTGCAGGAGTTCAATTAGCAAAGCCAGAAATCTGGCAGCAGCACAAATGCTTGTCTAATAGCGGACAGCTACCTTTGCTTCGCATACTATTAGCATACTATGCGGAGGCTGCATTCACATCAAAGGGCTTTACTCATTATGTTTATACCTTGCCCTTCCCACTCCCCCGAAACACACATGCTCATCCTTTCACAACAACCCTGTGGGGTAGGTTAGGTGTAGTGTTCTGAGCCCAAACAGAAACAAACCTGCACCAAGCGCAGGACTCAGCACTCTCTCTCCCCTTCCGCACATCTGAGGAAGAATCCATCAGGATTCCGTTTCCCAGGTTCCTTGCTTGTTGTTATATGCAGCCAAGGAATGGCGGTTTAGAAAAGCTGCTAGCTTGTTAAGGGAGCTAGCAAAACAGCTTAGGGTTTGCTGCTGGCTTGAAGAGGAATTGCTTTTAAACCACAATTCCCAGTTTGCATGTAAGGACAAGAGAAAAAGCAGCGGTAGTGACACCGGATGCCTGTTTATTCACCTCCTGCCTCGTTGGAAGGGGAGCCAGACTGGCGCTTTAAGTGGGGTCCTGGCATTCTGGCAAGGATAAAAAGGACAGGCCACATGGATTTGTTTCGGATGGGGTTGCAGTCCTCCGGAGGCCATCTCTGCCCCTGAGCAAAAGCGGCTTTCTACCAGCTTTGGCTGGAGACCTGACCATCCGGGCAGGAATAGCCTGGCTTCTGTTATCCACACGCTGGGAATCTCTGAGTATTGCAATGTGCTCTATGTGGGGCTACCCTTGAAGACTGTTCAGAAATTGCGGCTTGTGCAAAACGACTAATAACTGGGACCAGAAGCCTTGAACAGGTCAGCTTACCTTTATGCTGGTTTTAACCCATAATGCCCCACATGGCTTGGGAAAATACCTGGTGGAGCACCTCTCCTGAACACGGTATACCGTGCCAAGATGTGGGCTTGCCTCCAGTGCCACTCCAAGAGAGGCTCAGCTAGTAGCAACAAGAAGGGCTTTCTCGGGGGTGCCCCCCCCCCCCCCGTTCTGGCACAAGCTGCCCAGAGATCTCCAGCACAGACTCTACTGTCCTTTCGGTACCAGGTTAAGACTAGCAACTACGCCAGGGGAAACAGCACATGGAAAAGGGGGTCATGGCAGCTGTTTTAGCAGGACTCGTTTTATTAGCCTGTTGTGGTGTATTGCTGTCTCCACGTTTCCAAACTGCTGTGACGCGCCCCCCCCCCCCCCCGCTTTAGCTAGTGGGCAGAACAAACAGGAAACTAGTAACATTAAGTTTTTTTATGTTGTTTGAAATCCAGCTTTACAATCTCGCCAGTGAAATGTCTTGATTTTTTGCAGTTATTTATATATCATCATAGATTGTGTTGCATTTTATGAACTGCTCTCCACCACCCAGCCCGCTGCAGCCATGCGGCAGTGCAGAAAGAAATCCGATTCATAACAGCAATAGCCTTGCAGGAAACAGGCCAAACTAGTTCATAAACGGAGTCCCAGCCATTGCAACTTCCCTGGTGCCAAATATTTCGCAGGCTTCCTATCCGGCGTTGCTATCTGGCGGTTCTAAGCACTCCGGGCCTCGACGGTAACCCGGCCCTTCTGCAGGGCACTCTGCACAGGCCCAGAGTCCCCACGCGCGGCCGGCTCGGCCATTCTGCGGCCGCTCCCGCGCGCGCTCCCTTTCTCCTTCCGACGGAGGAAATGCAGAAAAGGGAAGCGGCCGCCAGAGGCAAAGTCCTACCAAACCAACCGGCGCTGGAGCGGCAGAAAGGAGGGAGAGGCCGCGTCCCCTCCCGGAAACGCAAACACTGCAGGCGGGTGGGAAGGGGGCAGAGGGATGAGAGAAAAGTGGCCCGGCCTCTCGAGCGCGCAAAGCCAGGCTGTCCCAACCCGGCGTCCCCCAAGGCGCTGACTACAACTCCCATCTTCCACAGGCAGCGGCGGTCTGGGGAAGACTGGGCCTGTCCGCGCGGGCTTGGGAGGCTGGGGCGAACTTCTGAGCAGGCACGCGCGAGGCTGCTGGGCGAGCCACCCTCCCCCGTGGATCGCCCGGGTGCGGATCGGGGCCAGCTGGCTCGGGGATCCCTCGCCGCAGAGGCCGGCCGGCCCTCTCCGTCTCGCCCCCTGTCCCGGAGAGCAGGATCGGGGGCATGAGCGGGAGAAAGCGAGCGCCAGAGAAAGGCGGCGCAAGTGGAGCACACCTGTCGCCTCGCCCCGGTCCCGCCGCCTCGCGGCTCCCTCGCCGCAAGTTCAGCGCCCAGACGGGCTACTGGAAGGGCCGGGAAAAGTCCGGCGCGCGGTAGGGTCGCCTTTCCCGGAACCCTCCTCGCACCCTACCCGTGGCGTGGCGCACATCAGGAAAGCCAGACACGCGAAAGGGCCGCGCGCGTCTTTGCGCGACCTCCCCAAGGGAAGCGCCAGGCCCGTCCCACCGGTTGCGCGCCCTTTCCGCCGAAGGAATGCGCCTGGGGCCGCATCCGGAGGGAGTGCTGGGGGGGGGGGGCGCGCTCGGCTGCTCCCCTGCAAGGCGCCCTCCGACGGCCTGGGGACTGGCAACGCCGCGTGCGGAGGCGGAACGGGGTCTCCCAGAGGTGGCGGCCCGGCCCCCGCCCAGCCAAATTCGGGACCCGGGCTGGGCGGGGGTCCGCGGCTGGCTCTCACCTTTGCGCTCGGCTGCTCTCCGGCGGCGCCCGCGCATCGTCCCGGCGGCGAGCGCGGCGCGCGCGGCGGCTCCTCTCCTCGGCGGCCAGCTGGCTTGGCGAGGGGGCGGCCGAGCGACGCCAGCGCCCGGCCCCCGCCCTGCCTCCTTTCGTACTTCCCTCCCACGCCGCCCAGCTGCCCCGGCGGGTCCTAGAGCCTCCGCAGGCCGAGAAGACACTCCGCGGCTGCCGGGAGAGCCTGAAAGGGGGTCCCCGTCTCCTCGCCGGCCCTCGGCAGAGACCTTCCCCCGTCCCGCTGCATTCCGCCCCTGCGTGCGCCCCCCTCGAGGCTCCAAGGAGCTCGGCCCAGGCGCAGCTGGCGCGCAGGAGCAGAGGCGGCAGCGGGTGCGCGCCTTGAAATCCAGCAGAGCCTCCCTCCTCTGGCGCAGCCTACCTCAACAGGAGGAGGGGGCCAGGAATAAGTGAGCGCCCCTTGCCCGCGGGTGCATTCTAGGAGCAGCGCCACGGGGCGTCCTGGGCGAGGAACCTCGGAAGCTGCCTTTCACCAGCTAGGCCCTTGGTCTGTCCGGCCTCATGTTGTCAGCACTGGCGGGCAGCAACGGCTCTCTGGCAGGAATTGCGCTTGCCTGGCCTGGCCTGGCCTGGCCTGGAGAAGCTCGGCACTGAACCTGCAGCCCTCCATGGGCCAAGCTGGGGCTCGGCTACCAAGCTACCCACCCACTCCATAAGGCCTGAGAGAGCAGGAGTTAGGCCCTAGGCTGGCTTAAAAAAAATCAGGACGTGGGGGGTGCTTTGAAGTCCAGGCGGGCCCTTGGTCTGTGTAGCCCTGTGTTTCAGGTGGGACTATTTCTGGATGCTGGAGAGGGAACCCAGACCCCCGTGCACGCCGAGCGCTGAGCCCCGCGCTCCAGCCCGGCTCCTGCTGTTTAAGGGATAGTGATCAATGATTAACTATTCTTCATTGCCTTGGTCTCCTTTGCCCATGGCATCAGTCCGCATCATCGAAGGCAGCATTCCACTGACTTGATGTATCAGACTGCAACCCTTGGTGCCGGCGGGGGATGATGGGGCTTGCATTCCACCACCTCTGCTGGGTGCTGGCTTGGAGAAGCCCGACTGAAAGGCGTGGATTTGTAATGGCAATAATTGATGTATTTTAAGTGTTCAAACCCTTTCCTAGCAACAGTGCAGAATGCAATTCTAGGCCCGTGTGGGCCAAAAAGCTGCAGCTCCCAGCATGGGTGAATGCTGGGAGTTATACGACTTTTTTTCTGTCTCACCATTCCTCCAAGACATTATTATGCCAATAATAAAATATGTATTGCTTTTTGATTTATTACGGTGTACTTCCTGGATCGAAGTCTGTCAGAGTGTTGCCCTGAAAGGCGAGTGTTGCCCTGAGAGGCATAGAACATTGAAACAAACAAACATTGCATGTTAGCTCAATGTTATTATCTCCCAAATTGCTGATGGAATTGGGGTGTAACTAAGGCTTGCCTCAGTCAGTTCCGGGTAGTGCAGCAATCAATACCACCAACTTCCTGATTGATAGTTCAGACTTCAATGTATAAACCTTGGAGGAACTTCCGTGGAACTCAGTGGGGCTTTCCTCTGACTTGACCCAGCAAGAATTGCATGAGGGCACCTTCTGGATAGGAATAGCCTGGCATCAGTGGCCTGTGCTTTTGGCTGCTTTTGAAGACAGTTCAGACAGTGCAGCTAATGCAGGATTCAGCATTCAGGTTGCTGGCAGGGACCAGGTGACGTGAACAGGTAGGTTCGTTCCTAACTCACCTGCACTGGTTGGCAATTTCTTCTCAGACCGCATGCAGAGGGCTGGTTTTACCCCGTGAAGCTCCAACAGATCTGGGACCTTACAGATCATGTTTCTCCACACACGCCTGCCCAGCCCTTCGGGCAGCCCTCGGTCATCTTTCCACCAGCAGACAAAGGTGCACTAATTTTCCATGCTTTGGAGGTAAACAGTGGCCCATTTCTTTGCTGCTTCTGTTACGCTATTCCTCTAGGCCCATGGGGCAAGAGAATTTTGCCTACTGTGGAGGGATATTTGTCTGAGTGGCTATTTTTCATATTGTTTAGTTTTGGGTTGTTTAAAAATGGTGTTTATTTGTTTTGGTAGCATTGTGTTAGTTGTGGCTTGTATTGTTTTGGGGTAGGTGTCCTATTATGTGCATTTTGAGTGTCTGTGTGTTTATTTCTTACCACTTCCAGGCTGGTTGTAGTGGGAAAGGAGACATCATTTAATAAATGACAGCTACATCCATTATGAACCTGACAGCTGCTGTGCTACCCTGCTGTGGATCTACTTCCAAGACAGTGTCTGATGCTTTCCTATTTGGGGAAGGTGTTGATCTCAGCCACAAAGTGCCTCCGGAACCCTGTGGTCCCAGCTTCATCCCAAGCGGGTCCTCAGTGGCAGGTGTCCTCAGTGGCAGGTGTCCAAAGGCACTTGCATGCAGAGCAGGTATGCCCCTGGGCATGTCTGCCATCCCAGGGAGCTGCGGAGTCCTGGGGGCGCCTCTGCTTGAGCTGCTGGGTCCAGGGCCTTCCCCGTTGCTGCAGCCCTGCTTGCATCCTCCTCTCCACTCCCACTCCCTGCCGTCACATCCTTTCTCTGGAAAGGTGCTGGTGCTCCAGCAGCAGAGACTTGGGTACGGTGGAGGTGGCAAGGCTGACCCCTCCGGGGGGAAACCCGCAGAGGAGAAGCTCCGAAGCAGCCCTGGCCCGATTCCTGAGGACTCTGACCCACTTCCCGGCACCTCTGCCTGCCTGTACTTCCCCTCTCCGTCCTGTGTAACTCTCTTCCTCTTTTTCTGCTCTTCTGCATTCCCTGAGTTTGCATCATGGGCGAGGATGGGTGGATTTTCTGGGGGGCTCCTTTGTTTTGCAATTGTCTGCATACACATCTCAAGAAAACCTTTCAAGAAGCGATCTTTTTAAAACAGGGTTGCAAGCACTGATCCTGAGGCATTGTGCATATGTGTACATACAGACCCTTTTCCCAGCTTGGGGATGCCACATGGAGATGGGAAGAGACCTGTTCTCCCCTGCAGAGGAAGGCAGGACATGCCCCAACGGAGCAAAGCTCAGGGAGCCAAGGTTCCATTTGGATGCCAGGAAGCATTTCCTGATAGTCAGGACCCCGAGGGTGTGGAATGGGCTTCCTCGGGAGGTGGTTGAGGCCCCATAGGTGCGGGTGTTCAAGGATAGGCTGGACATCCACATGGTTGGCATGTCGTGAGCGGAGCCGGCTGGTGCCGGAGGTCAGACCAGATGGCCCAGGAGGCCCCTTCTGACTCGCTCTGTTTTCTATGTTTCTATGTTTCCCAGCATGCTTCAGCCAGCAGCTCTTACCTGGAGGCCACCGGGCTTCAGAAGGCCTCTGTATACCTATCTGTGCTGTTGTTTCTCTGTACACACCCCCCAGGTTAAAAGATGGGGCAATCCAGTTGTGGGTGCTGTGTGCTTGGAGCCCGGACAGCTCAGCCATGACTCAGATCCTGCCTAGAAGGTCGCCGGTTCTGCAGCTGCGAACTCACACTAGCAGGTGTGGAGCGAACTGGCGCAAAGCACCCCTGGCACTCCAACAGGTGCCTCATGACTCACACCCAGAGATGGCTGTTCCACAGCCTGATCCTGCATCAAAAGGCAATCCCACTGAATTGGAGGGAGTCTAGGCTCAAGTCACCGTGTGACGGAATTGAGCTTTAGATGTCCCTCTTGCAAGATTCAGAAAGAGTGCAGGCTGGTGCAGTTCATCTTCATTTGTAATATGTATATACAACTTCGACGTTGCATTTATATCCCACCTTTTGCTTCTTGTGAGGAACCCAAGGCTGCTTCCATGGCTCCATTTTATCCTCACGTCCACAACCCTGCGAGGTAGGTTGGTATGAGACGGAGCGACTGGCCCAAAGCTCCCAATGACCAGTGTCGGGGGGATTAGAACCCTGGTCTCCCAGGTCCCCAGTCCAGCACCCGAACCCCCACACCACACTGGCTCTCCTAAAAAAATCCCTTATAATATAAAATTCTAACTGGCTTACACAGAAATATTAAAATCACAGTGGAAATACTAACACAGTTCCGCAGGAAGGATTGCAGTCACAATCACAGGCCAATAAATGGCGACACTTTTTCGTGTTACCAGCCGCTCTTCTCCCTTAGCCAGCACCCTTGTCCTGCTTGGGATGCGGCTGCCCTTTCTTCCTACCTGGAAGCTGGTTCAGGCATTCCTGGCAAACCAGGTTAGGCGACCTGAATCAGGGCTGATGCATGCCTTCTCTTTGTCAGAATGTATTTGTGTGTGTCTCAGAATGACTTTTCTGGGGTGTTTCCCCAATGCCTCCAAGCCCTGGTGAAATACTGCACAGAAAGCATCTGTGCTTTCTCAATATGCACAAGGGCACATCAGTCATATGAGGAAGAGGGAAAAGATGCAACTGCGAAAGAGCGGGAATGAACTTCTCCAGTTTTGGAATTGCATCCAGCAGCTCTAATTAAACCAGAATTTGGGAGGAATGGAACAGATGGCAGAAGGGATTAGAAAGGAAACTCATTGGGGCGAGGAGTGTCCAGCGAGGAGTGTCCAGTGGGCTCCACATACAACAAGCATTTATTGAGCTAGTTACTGCATTTATATCTCGTCTTTCCCTCTCTTGTGAGAAGCCCGAGGAGCCTCCTCTCCTTTTCATCCTCACAACAACCCTTTGAGGTAGATCAAGCAGAGTCCGTGACTAGCCCAAAGGTACCTAGTAAGCCTCATGCTCGGTGAGGACTAGAATGCTGGTGTCCCAGCCCAAAACTCTCAACACTCTCCTCCATAGCCAGGGGTGACAGGAGGCTGTGTGGCAGAGGAGTGGCTAAGCTCTCCCTCTCAAATTATCTGTCTCGGTCTTTCCTGCTCCCCCAAACAGGAAGCCCAAGCTGACCCATTAGCCCCTTCCTTTTCAATTAGCACTGCATGCCCCTCTGACCAGCCCCGTTGTGGGCCAAACCAAATCCGAAAGAAACTGCAGGTGTGTGCCTGAATGTGGTTAG